CTTTTAACTTACTGCAAAATCTTTCCATTATGAGACTGTGGTTAATAGTTTGAGATCACATTAATGCAAGTTCATTACATTTGGACAAATAATTGGCATCCATGTTCCACAACACAGTTTCTCTATATAAGAGCTATATGCCACTTTTTTATACCTATCTGTATGTAGAAGAAACTTGAGATATGAGCAGCTCATCATCTGTACTGTTTTTTCCATTATGTATATTTTCTATTTGCACTCTTTCCTACTTCTTCCCTCAACTGCTGCACAACAATTTCTCTCGGGATCTCCACCTCATCTCATCAATTCTGGTTTCTGCCAGTTTCAACTGTATGTATCTATTCACAAGCGTCAAACCTCCGCTGTTTTTATTAAATTGTTAAATTTCTATTATCTATACAATTCTAAAACAACTGGAGGCATTTTATAATTTAGATATGATAGATGGATAATTTAAATAATGTTTTAAAAATAAAGAATCGATTTACTGCAGGTCACAAAATCACCTGTTTTGTGATTTCATCAGTATTACAGCTGGCTGATATTATCGGCTAATGAGTGTGTTGGTATCAATGTATACAATGACCAACAGGCAGTAAGAAACTGCAGTACAGAAGGACTTTTGATTTTATTTTCACAGGTTTTAAGATGTCCTCCCAAATTCCTCTGGCTGTCAATACAACAGAGGTAAAAGCAATTTAATTTGTGGTGCTTAAAGAGCAACTTAAAGTTAAAAGTAGAAGAAGGTAGAAGATGTAGAATTACTTTATATACTTACACCATATATACTTAAAAAAAAATAAAAAAATTTCAAAGCAAATAGATGTCCAAAAACTTGGACAGATAGCACAAGGAGCAGGTGGGAAAATGTGTTTTAAATTGGGGCAAATTGACTCTTTTAAGCCAACACTTAACCCGTGTTTAAAAAAATAAAGTACACTGGGTCAAAGACAAAGATAGTATACCTGTCATAAATTCATCACAGCATCACAGTGCAAATGTGTGTAGAAAGTTAAGGCCGTTCATTAACAGTCAGCTGTCCAAACAATCAGCCTGCATGACTGACACGCAAAAACCTCACTGGATCAACCTTGCGGCTCTTTGACAAGCCGGCAGCATCGCCCCAGGAGGTTTGACACGGTTTAAGTGTGAGCAGTGATTTACAAAACGCAGAATGACATTGGAGATTCCAAACACACAGAGACACACACTGCTGGCATTTAGAGAATCAACTGCTTGATGGAATTAACTCTCGTCTTGCAGTGCTTTAAATGCAAGGTGATTAAACACCAAGGCTGTTGTTAATAAAGTAAGGCTCCCTTTTGAGTGACAGACACAAATTTGGAGTTAACATATTCATATGAGTTCCATCATGGGCCCAGCATATACAATCAAAAGATAGCGGCACTAGAAAGATGTTTAAAAAAAACAAGTGACACTTGTTTAGAGCCACTCCAGTGCTATGTTTAGAAACAGCACTATAATCAAGTAAATGTAAAATGCACAGAAGAGGTAGAGCTGCAGGATTTGAAAGCAGAGGTGGGAGGAGGGGTTGAGGAAGCAGGGGCAGTGTGGGCGTGAGGGAGCCACGGGAAAGAACCTGAGATCGGGTTGAAAAACTGACAGATATTTTTGGAAGAACAGAGAGAAAGTGACTTCCAACGTTTCTGCAATGTAACCATGATTTCTCAAGGCCAAGAGACGGGGTTATTTCAAATGTGAAAATCTTTACAGGCATAAGAACAGTAGCCTAAATAAACAATCTGAAGTTGCTCTCCATCATGTGTGGTTTCCAGCATTCCCATGTCTCTCCTGCCTGTCCCTCTGCCTGCGTGTGTGTGTGTATGTGTGTGAGCTAGCCAAGGGGAGTGTGGCCTAGTTACCATAGGAACATGTTCGCAGCTTGCTTGCAGTGCTTGTGCACTGCTCTCCATCAAACTACCTTCATTTTTACTAATGTATTTAGAAGCATTATTGTGTGCTTTGCTTGTAAATGAGCAGACCCAAATTAAACAGCTGAAAATTGTGAGAATGACATCTGAGATCAAGCAGCAATTTGAAGCTCTTATCACCAACTGACTGCACTGAGATACTTCGGTATTATCTCACCACACGTAACACGGTTTAAAATAAGGTGATTCTCAACTGAGAATTCCCCTACAACATGAGCCGCCTCTTGTTTGTTTCTTCCTGACACTTGGAGACATTCCTCTGTAGGTCTTAGTGTCTGAAATGAAACAACAGCTTTACACGCTACGCTAACTAACAGAAAATTATTTTTCTTCCTGAGGGAGCAGAAACGGCTGCTTTCATCTGGGGAAGTAAAGAGAGCACAGAGGAGGAAGACTCGGAATGAATCAAAGCCGGAGTAAAAGGCAAATGGTGCTATCAGACCTAGAGGATGTCAAAATAAAACTCTGGGAGTGTAACAAAGCAGGGCTCAGAGGGTGAGTGATGCTCCGGTGGAGGATTGAGTGGTAAAAAACTCATTAATATATTGCGGTACTTTTGTAAAGCTTCATAGTGCTGAAAAGCCATGGCAGAGGAAAAAGAGCAGAATGGCGCAGCTGAGGCTGGAGTACGTGTTAAACCTTCCATTATACTGGCAAACAGTGGTGTCGATGGATTTCAGAGAAAGAGCGGATTGAAGGGGAACATATAAATACATATATAACAGAGAAAAACCGTATTTGACCACGACAGACCACGACAGCAGAGGCTGTAAGAGTTAGATACAGTTGACAGAAGTGAAAAGTAAACTTCCACCAGTGTGGGGCTAAACTGACTCACTTGGTGTTAAAACTCCAGGTCCGCCACAGCAAACCTCCGCTTGACCAACCAACCCAAACTGACTCTGATGCGGCAGCCACGTCTTTGAAGATGTGTCCATGCAGCTATATGGCACAGACAAGTAAAGTTTTTTGTTTTGTTTTAGTTTTTAAGATTGATGGAGGATTAGTCACTTACAACAATGTACAACACAGGAAAAATAAACATTATTGTGCATGTAGATAAGGAAATAAAAGAAATTAACATTAATATAGAGCAATATGAGCAAAGATGAAAACAAAACTGTATAATTTAGAAATCAAAACAAGGAGAAACGTAACTTCCAGCTACAATTTGGAAATAAAATAAAAGTATAAATGGTTAGTAGAGTCTTTGAGGATGTCGTTGAATGCCCTTCTGAGATTTATCTTTCAAAAAAACTAATGTTTAGCTGTTGGACTCAAAAATGCAATGATAAAACAAGTGAGGCACAATCTGGGGTTACTGAGCATGTGAACATACCCACAAACTTGTCTTGAAACAAATCAGATCTTTACCAGAAAAAGAAGTGGAGTGCAGATTTACTGCATTTAAATTTCAGTCACCACTCAAGAAAAGCTAAAAGAAAACTGCAGCCAATTATTGCAAAGTCAATGATATACTTGTATTAGGAGCACCATTCAACTTATCACAGCTGCCCTTTATAGCCTAAATGTCACGATGCTGCTTAACCACAAGCTGTTATTATGATTAATTGATTAGCATTCCCACCGACACATCAGTGTTCCCTATTCCTTGTTCTCTGATTCGCTTTCATGGAGAAAAGTGGGAAAACCAGCCAATAAACATTAAAAACAGTTAAAGACATTTGATAATTCCTCTTTAAATTCAGCCTGTCCCAGTCATTATGACATCCATTTACCTTACAAATAACTGTTGGTCACAGCTGTATGAGATGCTAACTAGTTAGGGCTGCCCACTTCAATGTGGCTAATGCTAATGAAGGAACAGATTAAGAGGAGGAGGATATGAGGATATGAGGATATGAGGAGAGGTTTGTTAGGCAGCTCGGCAAGAGAAAACCAAGTATTGCGAGGTAGAACGTTGTCAAACTGTTTTGTGAGGCTCAGGGTGAAGAAGAATTACCAGAAGGGTAAAAATATCTTGTGTTTTCTCTATTGGGTTGCTGGGGGAAAAAATGAGGATGGAAAAGAAATTCATGGCCCGAGGCAAAAGAAAACAATTTGAGAAGATTGCAGGACAGGAGCTTGCTGACATGAGTTCCTGTTTTTTTTTTTTGTTTTGTTAGAGAACATTCAAACAGACTGTCAAAGCCTTTCTGTCCTTGGCAGCTAGAGAAAACCCCCCTCCATGCGTTGTATTGAAGATGGCTGAATTATGACGGAAACTTGGTGTTGGAGCAGAATCAGCTCTTTGCCGGCTGTCAGGCTCCCAGCTGACAACTGTGGCAGAATGGCAAAGAATCCAGATTACAGTTCACGAGGAAACCAAGAGAGATTTATAGACATCCATGACTCTATCTCTCTCTCGCCTTTCCATGACGCGATGTACGAGATATCTTATAGGAATTTCATATGGAGGAGGCTGAGGAAATCCTGCGAGGGGCAATGAGTCAGAGTGAGCTGGACTTATCTTGTTCTATCAAGTGTGCAGCCTCAGACATTTTATCAACTGAAGCTCTTCACTCTCCTCTGCATTATGTTTTTTTATAGGATGGGAAACTGTATGCAAGAGCCTGCAGTGGAATATAATGAGCTATAAAGATAGTGGCCTCCAATAATACCTGTGCTACATTACACTGTCCAAACATCAAGTGCATCTTTTGTTTTTTGCCAGCTGAGATGGAGGATAACCGTCACAGCAGTAAAATCCACACAAGAGTATTTTCATCCAAAATGCACACACAGACCTTGAGTCCAGTGAAAGTGGGATACCTTTTGAATGTTATGTTGGTAAACTAATTTGAGAAAGATAAAAATGACCCTGCAAAATCCCATTTCGTCATTTCGACTTTGTTCTGACGTAAGTGAAATTAAAGAACGAGCTTAATATCTACTTTACATATCTCAGAGCCCCCCTGCAGTCTGTGCAGGTGTTCAATGTGCAACAACCACAGACAGCTAATTAGCAAACTACAGGTATCAGTGAAATCAGACTTGACAGAAGCTGAGTACCAATCAACCAGGTCCTTACACTGACTTTAACTTTTGGGGGCTGTAAAGGTTACGAATTTAAAATTCTCTTGAAAATACATTTTGAGAATAAATAATATTCAGCTCAGTGAGGGACACCATGTGTCACATGCTGTGTTTTGTGCCATGACATTATCATGTGTACAAAATGCATCTTGTAGTTGGGACAAAATGAACTACACTGAACTATATTGTAACACTTGGCATTGCATTTCTACACTGCATGTGCCAATTAGCAGATAGTTCATGCAAAAAATGCAGTGAAAGATGCAAATGCTAAATGCAAACCCAAAGCAGCACTGAGAAAAAATGCATTCATAAACATAATTGACCAAAACATACATTCAGAGGCACAGAATGCCAAGTTTATGTAATATGCATATTCAGCACGTGATAGGGCTTATATCCCGCAAAGAACAGGCTGCATATCAGAACTTCATACATGGAAACCCTCCATAAATTGTCTTATCAAACATCCATTAGGCCAGTGCTTGAGGAGGGGGGAAGCCTTCCGGTACAGCAACCAAACAGCGGCTCCTTTTTGCTTTTGTGCCAAATTCCCTAAACAGCCTACATGTTTTTATGTCTCCAAAATAAACTGGTAAAACTATTCCTAAAACACAGGTATGTTTAACATGCCTGGGGTATTTCTATAAAATCATTTGGCAAATCTTATATTTTTGTTTGCTAAAGTCCCACTTTCACTGAACTCACCACCGAGTTGTCTGAGGTCATTCGGCCTGCAATGCATCACCTTAAAAACTCAGCAAGACACTGAACCTGGCCACCTGAGCAATGCTGGTCAGTTGCACAGTTGCATTAACAGCTGGTACAGACCCTGCTGCCGGTGTTGCACATGAATATCCAGGCTTTGAGGTGGACGAGCAGCATTAACACCTCCATTTGTGAGCCTCTCCAGGCCAGCTGTCACCAACACTTCACTGTAAGATGGGGTAGATATTAAGAGTATGTCACTTCACTTTCTACCTACACTTGTACAACACTTACCCAAAATCACAGGACTTCCTGGTGACGAAATCTTAAAAACTTAGTTACATCTGTGGATGCAGACTGAATCCAGTGGGTTTTCCAGGGCACTTGGGAAGGTGCTGAGGTTCCAGGTTTACTTGCTTTTGGGGACAAAAGGTAGAATCAGTTTGTGCAGACCTGAGAGACGGTTTCCAAATAAAAGGCCAGTGCTGTCCTCTTTGAGAGATGCTTGTATTTCAATCATTAGGGCCAATATGTTGTGTTCAACGTGGGCAGCTCCTCCTGTTCTCACCTATGCTGCAAGTGTGTCCATACATGCCTTTTTTTCCCTTTTTTTGTCAAGTGTGAAGGCTTTATTGGAGGAAAGCTGGCTGTCACAGGGGTCCCCTCACCTTCAGCTCAGTCCATCACTGAAGCCAAAGCTTGCCTGTCAGCAGTGGCTCTGTTGTGCAGCTCAGCAGCAGCTCTCCTCTGCTTCTGCTCCCTCTCTTCTTCCTCTGCTCGCTGTCCTCCAACTCTATTACAATCCAGGAACTGAGATGCGATCCCAATGCAGCTTCCTCGGTAATAAAGAGAATCTCTTCTGAGGACGGTTTTTGTCATCTTAATTGTTTGTTCTGGGCACATGTGACTTCAAACAGCCCCTGCGTCGCTTTATTATCTGGGAACGATATGAACTCCTGTTAGCGCGTTTTTGGCGTGACGATCCACAGAGCCAATTAGTTCACCATCTGCCACTTCTATTTACATTTAAAACACTCTACAGAGATGGACGACGCGACACGGATCCTGCATGGTTACAAGCGCTGCACATGAATCATGCCGATTACTGATATTAAAACGGGGGATAATTATCAAGGTGATGCCAGTGGGCTAAGCCAACTCTGAGCAGCACACAGACCTACGGCACATTGCGCGCACTAACGCCACAGACGCATAGAAATAAACATCCCGGAGGTATTTACAGGAGAGATCCAGAAGATGTGCAGCAGCATCTGAGCAATATCTGATTCGTGCACATTTTTTTTTGGTTTTTTTTGTTGTTGGGTTTTTTTTGACGCGCTCCTCGCTTCTAGCTCGGGTGATTTAATCTTGGAAAGCGTCTGTAGTTCACCCTGCGTGGCATAACGACGTCCCCGTAATCCAGAAATTCAGAACGAGGGGTGGGTGGTGGTGTTGGTGGAGGTGGAGGGGGGGAATCCGGTGCCAAAATTGACGCTGCGTGTCCTTTGTGCTCCTGCAGTCCCGTCACACCTAATTTTGATTTAACGGCAGTGCGTGAAAAAAAAAGGTGCTCGGTAAACGGAGAAGTCTCTCCCTTGAGGGCGGAGATAGTGCGTAAGATAGACAGAAACAGAAACCAACGCCTCCAAAGGCAGGCGAGTCCGCCCCGCGCTGTACCATCTCTGGAGTTTGTAACGTCCGAAAATAAAAATGAAAACGATGACGGCCGGCCGCCCACTGCGCCGAATAATTAGGGATGGGAATGAGGTTGGGGAGTGTAACAAAGTTCATTTAAGTTACTTCTAGAATATGCAGAGTGGGTTTAATGTCTCCCACAGGGCGCTCGGTGGGAAGTAGGGGTGATGCACTTTTAACAAGGCTCAAATTCGCACACCTGAGAAATTTACATAAACTTATTTTTAGCCGACGTTAAGTGGGAAGGTGGTGTTTTTTTATATAGTTTTGGGAATGTGTAATAAGTAATATGTCAGCAGCTGCAAGGTGTACAGGAAACATATGGGGGCTTTTTTTTCAATGTGTCAGCTGGTCAACTACAGATTTCTGGTAACAAGATCCCCAGGGAGGCCTCCCAAAAAAAAAAGCCCCAGATTCACTTTGGAGAAATTGGTTTGTGGTAACATAATTGGGCTCTATACCTTTCTTTTAAAGCACAGCCGACATGATAAGGAATCCT